GGGGTGAGCCCCATGGGAGGGGGGGGGCCAGGAGGGGAGGGGAGGGCGGCATGGGGCTGCGGGGCCAGGGCCGCTGGCAATGCCGTCTCACTTGGAGGGTCCCCACCACCAGGTTCACCCCTGGATAAGCTGGTCTCCAGCCTGGCCGACCTGCCGGCTCGCCTGGACGCCCGCAAGCGTGTGGCCCCACAGGACTTCGCTGAGATCATGAAGCAGCGGGAGGAGACCCACCACTTGGGTGAGTAGGGCCAGGGGGATGCGACACCTCCCCACTGGCACCCCACAGCCCCGCTGAACATCACCGCCCTCTCCCCACAGCCGACCACGCTCCCCAGGGGTCCCAGGCAGATCTCTTCCCTGGCACCTGGTACCTGACCCGGGTGGATGCCAAGTACCGCCGGGAATACGCCAGGAAGCCCGTCTAGTGGGGACTGGAGTGGTGAGCCCAGGGAGGGGGATGCTATCCTCCCCACCGGCATCCCTGCTCACCCCCAAATCTGGGGCTGGCCTCTGAGGGAAACCTCACCTTGGATGGCCGGGAAGTGGCCAGCGGCGCCTGGGGCCCTGGAGCTGGTGGAGACAGCGGCGTTTTCTGCAAACACCCGGGGTGGCACGGGGGAATAAAGACACGGATGAGGGGGCAGCAGCCCGGCTCTGGCTCCTGGTCACGAGTGGTCCCCTCCCACCCCGGGGCCCGTCCCTCAACCACCATAGGGTTGGATCGCAGTCCCTTACAGGATTTATCCCATGGCCACCCAACGCAGCTGCCTGCCCTCTTGGGCACCTGCCTCAGTACTCCCCATTTCCCAGGATGGGAGCATACCCTGACATTTTGGGGGAGCCAAGTAAACCCCAGCTCCCTGGTCTCCAGTTTTGGGGTGCTAAGATGCCATTTTGCCCATGATGCCAGCAAATTGAAACATCCCCACCGGAAAACCTGGGGGGTAGGAGGGGGCAGGAGACGCGGGGGCTCATGGGAGGGCTCAGCCCCCCTTGGAGTGCTGCCTGCTCTCTGGGCCATGCCCCGCCACGGGACCATGGCCGGACGGGACCTCGGTGGGGCCGCAGCAGCCGTGGAGGCCTTTGCACCCTTGAGCAAACAGCAGCTGGGCCAGAGGAGCAGGAGGGGCTGGGCTGGGAGTGGGAGGGACAGAGCCTGCAGGAACTTTGGGGTCAGGGACAAGGACCGCATGGAAAAGGCATTACGCGCTCTCTCCTCATGGACCCTTTATTGAGTACGGGGCTGCCCCAAGCCCAGAGTGGGGGCCAGGGGCAGCCGGGTGTGATGCTCCCCCGATTCATGGTGGGGGGGGTGTCCAGGTGCTGCGACCATGGGGAGAGTCCTTGCCAGCAGTCAGGGGCTACAGGTGGAGCTGGAAAACCTCCATGACGCGTGGCTTCAGCTCACCAAGGTCAGACAGGGGGGCCGAGAGCCCCACAACACTCCACTGTTCCCCCGCCACCGTGCCGGAGCTGTGGTAGGACTGGAGCTGGACCCCCACCTTCCCCAGCAGCCCTGGAGAGGAGGAGAGGGGTTAGGGGCTGCAGGCTGCCCCACCGCCCCAGCACCCAGCAGGTAGCAGGGCTCTGCCCACCCTAACACTCCTCATGTGTGTCCATGATGCCATTTTTCCCCACCACAAGTCCTTGGCTCCAAACCCCCAACCCTCCGCCCAAGCCTCCCCATCCCTGTCTCTCCATGCAACATCTGCCCCGTCCCTGCTGCAGCCGGGGCTCAGCTCCAGGACAGATGTGGGGTCCCCCCAGGCTGGCCCCCCTGCTTGGGGATGACACAGGGAGCTCACCGGCAAGTGTGGGCAGCACGCTGGGCTCGGAGGCTTTGGCTCTGTAGATGAGGACAGGGCCGGCCAGCGGGGCCGGCTGCTTGAAGGTGGCCCCGTTGAGCTCCCGCAGCACCGGGGTGCAGCCCTGCACCGTCCCTGTTGCCCGGTGTGGGGTGCCCTGCAGGGCCACCTGCAGCAAGCCACCACTGCCGTCGGGCTCGGAGGCCATGTCACCATGGGCGGGCGAGACCTGCCAGCG